GCAGTAAAAGGGAAACGTTGCGTGTTAGGTGGGTCAGCAGATGCCGAGCTGACAGTCGATGAAATATTTACGTCAACACAACGCTATCATGGATCTGATGTCTGTAACATGTAAGTGAAATGCAAAGTAGAGAGTGTGTCAGAGTCCATGTTACTACAAAAGACTTTGTTTCTTTCTAAATATAAATGATGGCACGTAGTATGAGAAATTACATTTAACTATAAATAAAATCCCCCTATTTAACAACATATATTAAAATAGCGTAAATTAGCACAATCCTGTATTGAAATTTGTTTTTTCCATGTATTTTTCCTTTTAAAAAGGTATAAAAATACTGGACATCCAAAGCATTTGTAAAGTCAAACCAATCTTTTTTCCACCATGTTGGGAGTTTGGGTTTTTTTTGTCCTAAAACTGTAGCTCTTATCAGTCCATGTTTTTGACCACTTTTCTTATTGAACATCTAAAAAGAGAGGTTCAACAAGAAATTATTTGTCCAACAACTGTATGATAAAGAGCCACGTTGCAAGTCATATATATTAGTGATTTAGATCTGTGGGATTTATATAAGAGATACCCAATTTGTCTGGTAAAGATGGCATTCAAGCCCTTTACATTGCTACCATCTACTGGATAATAGCAGCAAATGCATGGTCTATTACCTCTCTTCTCCCCCTCTACAGTATATCTCAGCACCACGCTAACTCAAGACTATATACTGTGCACAAATGTCTACTGATTAAGCAGCTTTACCAAACAGCTAATCTAGTTATCAAAGTTGGGAAATTATTGAATGATGACGCTGTGTGAAAAATGAGAACTTTATTACAACACGCAAACACTTTATACCCAGTCAACTTTCAAAGTCTGTAACTTACACAGTTAAATCTTGAAAACCGGCAGCATTTGGATACAAAGTCAGACCAAAGCATTTTAATTTGTCATAACACACCACATGCCCATTAACACCCATCTGGACACGTCACAAAACATTGAATAGATCTGAGCATGCCAGACTCCTGAAACACCCCGATTACTTTGCATAATAATGTACTGTACAAACTTCTATTGCATATTGACGCACCGTACAAAAACGAACAAACCGCTCAAAGTAACAGGAACAAAATATTAACCACGCAGAGCAGATTTAGTGTGATGCAGTGCAAATGGTAGAATTAGACTAACGACTAATTAGACTAACTGAAGGTATGTGGCATTCGAGGCTGGGCCACAGAGATTGTCACCAGTTCGGTTCCCAAATATGTAAAATAATGTGAAGAGCACGTCGGACTCGTCTGTGCTAAGGCATCCATGACATTTTAAAATGGAAAAAGAAGGCAACGAATGAGCCGGGACTTTTGCTGAGCTGCCGTATAAACACAACACCATGAATCGGGCACTTAATGTAGTCAACTCATGGAACATAAAGTGTTGCCTTCGCAGAGTCAAACAAGCTGCGGATGCAAAACCATGCATATACAAAGAATACAGTATAGAACAACAAAGAGGAAGACATGTTGAAGTTGTTAGTGCCTAGTGGACAGGTAGTGTGCTTGGCGTTTCCAATACGTAGACACCCGTTCGAGTCAATAACCTCTTTAGCTGCCTTTATTAAAGTTGTAAAGAGGTCCAAAAGTGTCATTCAATTGGCCAAATGATAAATAAAAATAAATTAAGGCGAGTGGAACAGAACAATAGGAAAACCCAAAAAGGAAAAAAAGAACTCGAAAACAGTAAATGACCATTTCACTCAAATTGTGTACAAACTATTATGAGAACATGTAATCTGTGTGAAGTTAGCCTTTAACACAACACAAGCTATGTATGAAATTCATCAATCATATGAGTAAAAGCTGTGATCATAACAGCACATAATTAATACAGATTAAAACCCAGAACCTGCATAATTTCCTCACACCTGTTGCTCGAACCCTAAAGAATAATAAGTACTAGAGGCATCTCTCCAAGTGAATACACAGAACCTGAGCCTCCCCATTTGATGTGAACTGGCTCTGAACCCTTTCCAGATGCTGAGTCAGTAGCACATTTAAACTCAGCAGGGATCCAAACAACTGATGTGAAATATTAAATCTAGTCAAACAAAGGCTAGCATGTAATACCATCCACCAAGTTAAAAACAACAACAAAAAAAACAATCTACAATAGTTCATGAACAGTTGATTAAAAATCTCGAGGATCACATGCTTAACAGTTCTGCTGAACTGATGTTGTGCCAGATTTTCTGATCTCCCATTAGCTGGCTTATGAATATATTGTACAAACTTAAAAGTATGACACTCGGTAGCGTAAACAGGGCAAATCAAAACTCAAACACAAAGTGGGGGCAAAAAAAATATAAAGGAATAACATATTCACAATTTCTGACATATTTACAAAAGGAAAAAAAGGACTTTGTAGTAAAATTATACATTTAGGAATAGGCCTGTGGCACACCTGGTTCAAAGTCAACACGATGCACATCATTAGTTCATTAGTTCAGCGTCGCGGCCAGAAACCACCTTGTGTATGAGACCGGATTCAGCACACGCACAAGGCAGCGTTGTGGTGCTGTGAAAGGATGCTGCGTTCCTCAGAGGAGCTTCTTTCTCTGCTTTGAGTTTGAAGGGACTGTTCGTTTTCCGTCTCGCCGTGAGGCGTCTTTGGGGACAAACCTTTGTTGGGGGGCCGGCCGAGCCGACGATGAGGACCTTTGAGTTCTGGGGAGACGTGCGAACAGCGGCGAGACCTTTTTATTGGCGGAGGGGAAGTAGCACAGTCCATCTGCGTGGTCGAGTCTTGCTTTTCAAAAACATTGGCTGAATCGTCTGAAGGGGGCAGCGCGTCCCCGACGGAGTCGATGTCGGGTAAGAGCTGTGTAGTCGCACAGAAAGCGGCTTCGTAAAACCCAAATGCCTGCTCCAGAGTTGTGGAACTTTCTTTGAAAGGCGAGGGAACATTCAGTGGTTCACCACTCCACTGAAATAAAGCGAAAATTAAAAAGTTAGCATTATTATTGAGTGATTAAATAGAATTCCAAAAACTAAGTACTTTTATTTTGAAATCCAAACACAGTTGTCAAGAATAAACAAAACAAACAAAAAATTTGCCATTTAATAACTTACGGCTAAAAATGAGATGGACTCATGGAAGCTATATTATATGAATGGAGACAAACTCAGAGATATAAAAATGAATCTACACTGAGTTTTATGTGTATTGCATGCACATGTGATAAATGTGCCAATGATGCAAACAGTAAATATCGATATATGACTGGCATCTGAAAGAATGATAAAGGTGAGTAAATGCAGTCCTAAAAATCCCCGTCTTCCATCTGTCCGCCTAAATAAACTGGTCATCTTTAACAATCATCATCTTCTCTGGAAGTGTAAATATACTCTCCCAATGCCATCTCACAGCGTTAGATGAGCTGCAGTTCAGAGTATGTGTAAAAGCGCTCATATCATAAACTCAATCATCATCAGGGTTACCGTCTTCTTGACTTTAAGAATGCTAAAGGCACTGGCGTCAATAAACACTGAAAAATTTGACATTTTAAATAAGATCTTTGACAGAAACTTGTAACACAATTCCTAGACTGATGCCAGCTGTTGTGCCAGTGCAACCTGGGAATAATCTGAGAACAGCAGCCGTTTCACCGTCTCCCACCACTGGTGCTCATTTGTCAGTAATGTTCTGGTAAATACCAATGAAAAGATTTAAATAAACAAAAGTGCTACATTGGAGGTAATAATACCAGTATTTCAGAACAAATTAGCTTAACTGGTTGTACAGAGATGTGATCATCCTTTGATCCAAACAGCTGCGTTTTCCTATCAGATTCAGTAAGACCAGCCTGGATCTTGAGAAGGGCAAATCATGGGCTAATCATTTTTGACACATTTTCATTGCTGAGTCAGTCACCTCACTACCACTCCAGGCAAGTCCATCCCTCATGTTCTTCTCCAAATACCTCATCTTCTTCATAAAACATGCCATCCTCATGCTCCGCCTGTTGGGCCCCGAAAACAAAAAGTGATTTGGTAAACCATCGGTCTTCTGATGGAAACTGATTGTGTGACCTTTGGCTAATTTCTCTAGGTGTTTACCAATAATCATATTCCAACTGGTGAAAGTATTAAAATGATAATTAAAAAAAAAATGGACTGAAATATATATATATGTAGAGGACAATACAGTGAATAGCCAAAGGCAAACACACACTGTGAACACACTGGGTATATGCTTTAATGGAAACAGAGCAAAAGGAAAAGGCTAAAGAAAAGCTAAGGCACTGACCTTTGGGACCTCACATGTGTTATAAGTCGTCCCTGGGCCAGGAACGTGGTCAATTCCTGTAGCCATGTCGACAACAATCTCATCTCGATGCATAGGGATAGGTGGGCCACCGCGTTCCTGTAGGGCTAGGACGATCACTGTCGTATTATCTGCACGGAGCATGCGTTCCTTCCAAAACAACAGAGCTGTGCATCCCAGCCGGCGGGCACAAGACATTCCCTTTGGCCCCTTAATAAATTAAGAGATAAAGAGAATCAATGTTTTCAGGTTTCCAGTGATACCACTTTAATTGAAATTGTGTTTACTTGAGGTGAAAGTGTGAAAATCAATTCAAAACTGCCCCACTCTAATAAGTATAGCAGGCATCTACCTTAAGAAACGTTGTAACCGTTTTAAATTCCAAACCACTATACTGCATGTAAACATAACATTAAACATAACGTAAAAATATTAAAATGGTACTATTACATACCACCATTTTGTCGTGACTATAACACATATTAACAGCATTCTTGGGTGGCATCATGTTCCACAGTCCATCACTGCCGAGAATAATGTAGCGATGTCGTTTGGGGTCAAGGGTCATCACGGTGGTATCAGGCTCAGGAGAAACCACAAACTCTCCACTGTAGAAATCATAGCTCCAGAGGTCACCTGTCAA